AACTGAGGGGCTGGGTTCTGTTGAGTTTGGGCTAGGGACCACATTGTAAATTGAGGGAGTCTGAGTTGGGATTTGAGTCCTTGAGACACCCAGTATTGAGGTGTGGTGCTGGGGAGCCCGGGGGAGCCTAGGTTCGGGGTTGGAAGCTGAGCCCTTTGGACGGATAGTTTGAGTCCTGGTCATCTGGATTACAGGTTGAATGTAGGCAGGACTTTAGGGCCCAGATTCCACGCGGGTTGGGGGTGTTGCCCTGTATCCGGGTCACGGTCTAGGCACCAGGAGTCAGGACGGTTTTTAATGATTAATGAGGGGAATTGGCGAGATATCACCTGAAGCGAGGGCAGGTGGGGGCTGGCACGTGCTTGCTGATGAGGAGTAACGCTGAGAAGTGAAGCCTTCGGTTAGGGGGATGGGAGAGAAGCCCCTGCTTGTCAAAAAGCTGGAGCGGAGTTGGAGGGGGGAATCCATGGAGTTCTGGTTAGACCCTGAGTCTGAACCTTTAAATAGTGTCAAATGAAGGACTAGAGATGCTTGTGGTTTAGGTTTGAGATCTGAGACCCCCCTGCCCCATAGCTTGAGTTGCTAAGAGGCTCAGGATGACTCAATTTAGAGGGAAGAGAATGCCAAAGATTAATCTATTATTGTTTCTTTTAATAATATAGATCAGAGTTGGAATTTATTATTTCATTTAGGATTTGGGAGCCCCCAAGTTGGGTTATGGATGGCCCCTCTTAACCTAGGGTTTGGTATTGTCCCCCAGGACTTGGGCTCTTGTTGCTAGGCTTTACAGAGGGAATTTCTGAAAACTCTAAACCCTCAAGTGAATGGGGATCTGGAACCTCTCTGGGCCCACTCTTCTCTTCTAGTAACTTGATAAGGCTGCAAAGTCTTGACAAACAGACCTTTTTATTCATTCTTGTGTCCCCATCCTGCAACACATGGCCTATTACTTGACCTTGATGGGATGTTGTAAATAGATAAATATCAAAGGTGAATGTGAGTCATGAGGAGAAGAAAGGTCTAGGAGATTTTTTGCCTTTGCTTTTTGTCTTTGGGCACCAGGTCAGGAAGGACCACTTTCTCTTTCTTTCCCTAGGCAAGGCTGACTCTTCCTTGGACTAGCCCCCTTGCCCTATTATAATACTGACAGCTCTCCTCACTCCTGGCTGCCAGTCTCACTCGTTAGGTAACTTACAGCCTATAGTTGTTGTTGTCTTGCTTGGTTGGTTGGTTGGTTGGTTGGTAAGTATCATGGAGTCAGTTCTGACTCATAGTGACCCTACACAGGGTTTCCGAGGCTGTAAATCTTTATAGGAGCAGAAAGTCTCATCTTTCTCCCACAGAACTACTGGTAGTTTCGAACTGCTGACCTTGAGGTTGGCAGCCTGACTCGTAACCACTACGCTACCAGAGCTCCTTTGTTGTTATCTAGTCAGTTCCAATTCACAGGCTTCTTTTTGCTGACCCTCTACCAAGCATGATGTCTTTCTCCAGGGACTGTTTCCTCCTGACAACAAGCCGAAAGTATGTGAGACCAAATCCCACCGTCTTCTGAGCACAGATTTGTTCCTTCTTCTGGAAATCTGTAGTACTTTCCATATTCTTCATCAACACCATAATTCAAATGCATCAGTTCTTCTCCAGCCTTCCTATTCATTGTCCATCTCTCACATGTATGTTGTTGTTAAGTACCATGTTGTTGTTAAGTACCTCTAACTCATAGTGACCCTGCACAGGGTTTCCGAGGCTGTAAATCTTTACGGGAGCAGAAAGCCTCATGTTTCTCCCACAGAACAGCTGGTAGTTTTGAACTGCTGACCTTGGGGTTAGCAGCCCAATTCTTAACCACTACGCTACATGTATGTGAGGTAATAAAAAAAATACCTGTAATTTGGGTCAGGTGCACCTTAGTTCTTTGCTTCTTAACACTTTAAAGGAATCTTTTTCATCAGATTTGCTCAATGCAATGCATCCTTTGATTTCTTGACTAATGCTTCTATGGACATTGATTGTGGATCCAAGTAAAATGAAATCCTTGGCAACTTCATTCTTTTCTGTTTATCGTGATGTTGCTTTTCGGTCCAGGTGTGAGAATTTTTATTTTCTTTATGTTGAAATGTATTGTAATCCATACTGAAGGCTGCATCTTCATCAATAAATGCATCAAGTCCTCTTGGCTTTCAGCAAGCAAGGTGTGTCATCTTCTTCCAATCCTGATGCTTCATTCTTCTTCATATAGTCTAACTTCTTAGATTATTTGCTCAGCATACAGATAAAGTATCATGAAAGAATATAACCCTGGCACATATCTTTTCCTGGTTTTTAACCATTCTGTATCCCCTTCTTCTGTTCAAGCTGCTTCTTAGTCTATGTATAGGTTCTATATGAGCACAATTAAGTATTCTGAAATTCCAGTTATTGACAATATTATCCATAATTTGTTATGATTCACACAGCCAAATGCCTTTGTATAGTCAGTAAAACGCAGGAAGTATCTTTCTGTTATTACCTGCTTTCAGCTAAGATCCATCTTACATCAGCATTGATATCCCTCATTCCACAGAAATTCTGACTTGAATTTCTGACAGCTTTCTGTTCACGTACTGCTGTAACCATTTTTAAATTATCTTCAGCAAAACCTTTTTTTGGAATGGGCACAAATGAATCTCTCTTTGGTTGGTCTGTTAGCTGTCTTCCAAATTTGTTGGCATGAACAAGTAAAAGCTGCCAGCACTGTATTAGTTTGTTAGAGCATGTCAGTTGGTATTCTTCTAATTCTGGAGCCTTGTTTTTCACTAATGCCTTCAGTACAACCTGGACTTTTTTTAATATTATCCATTCTTGATCATATGCTAGCTAATTCTTTTTGATACAGTGACTGTGTGTTCCTTCCCTCTTCTTTTGAGGTTTCCTTCATCATTCACTATTTACCCATAGAATCCTTTAGTATTTCAACTCAAAGGTTGAATTTTGTCTTCAGTTCTTTCAGCTTGAGACATGCTGAGCGTATGTCTTCCCTTTTGGTTTTCTATCTGCACATTTCATTGTAGTACTTTATCTTCTCCAGCTGCCCTTTGGAATTTTCTGTTCAGCTCTTTTACGTTGTTTTTTTCCAGATACACTAGCTTCTCTGCATGCAAAAGCAAGTTTCAGAGTCTCTGCTGACACCCATTTTGGTCCTTTTTTCCTTTCCTGTCTTTTTAATGACCTTTTGATTTCTTCGTGTATAATGTCTGTGATATCATTTCACAACTCATCTAGTCTTCAGTCATTAGTGTTCAGTATGTCAGATCTGTTCTTGAGATGGGATATACTCAAGGTCAGGAGCACAGTGGCTCCAGAGGATAAGCATTGGACTGCAAAACATAAGGTTGGGAGTACAAGCCAACCAGCCACTCCATGGGAGAAAGATGATGCTTTTTGCTCCCACAAAGATTTAAAGCCTCAGAAACCCTATACAGGGTCTTTAAGTCAGAATTGACTCAACAGCACTTAACAACAACTTTGCCAAGGTTGTACTTTGGCTCTTGTGAACCTGTTTTAATTTGCTTCCACTTCAACTTGAACTTGCATCTGAGCAGTTGATGATTTGTTCTGTGGTCAGTCCATAGCCTTGTTCTGACTGATGATATTGAGCTTTTCCATCATCTCTTTCCACAGATGTAGTTGATTTGATTCCTATACATTTCATCTGGTGAAGTCTATATGTATACTCATCATTTACATTGAAAAATGGTATTTGCAATGAAGAAGGCATTAATCTTGCAACATTCTATCATAGGATCCCTGGTGTTGTTTCTGTCACCAAGACCATATTTTCCAACAACTGATACATTTTTATTTCTATCTTTTGCATTCCAATCACCAATAATTGTCATCTCTTGATTGCGTGGTTGATCAATTTTAGACTGCTGAAGTTGTAAAATGTCTTCAACTTCTTCATCTTTGATATTAGTGGTTGATGCATAAATTTGAAAAACTAGTTTTCCTTGTATGGCCTCTCTTCACCTGAAGCAACAGAGGAGGAGGAAGAATGAGGACTAGGAAGAGGAACTGGAATGTGTGACCAATTATATCCGTGAACAACAGCCTCCTTAGCCCAGAAAACAGAAATGGATAGTGCCTGGCTACCATTACTATTTTGGTCAAAGAGTCTATTGAAAAATGCTGGTCAAAAGGGTAGAATGCAGAACAAAAATTCAAATTGTCATGGACTCAAGACTTTTTGGAACAATGGAGAGTGGATGAACACCTGAAACTATGACCTAAGATCATCTTTAAATAGCCTGCTGTTGTTAAATGTCGTCGAGTCAGTTCTGACTCATAGCGACCCTATAGAGGATCTCTGAGGAGCGGCTGATGATTTTGAACCACCGATCATGTGGTTCAAACCAACCTTGAGGTTGAGTGCTTATCCTTAAACAGCCTATTGTTGGTGGTTGTTAAGTGCCATAGAGTCAGTTCCGACCCATAGCAACCCTGTTTAGGGTTTCTGAGGAGTGGCTTGTGAGCTTGAACCACTGACCTTGCAGCTTAAAAGACTTTTCAGTCCAGCACATTAACCCACAGTGCCATACCAGGACAACCTAGGAATGTTTAATCCCAGACTCTGCCCAGCTTTTAGCTGTGAGTAACCAAATATTAACAGGGTGACTGTAATACAACAATTTTTTTTGCCCCTTAATTTATTTTGAAGTTAATTTTCAGTAGTTGTGAAATAAACAGCAACCTATCCCAGTGCTGAGACAAGGGCAAACAAAGGTTTTATAGTCTAGCAAACTATATAACTTCTGAACCTGTG